GGATGACTATAAATTGGTTGTTTATTGATAATTCTCAAATCTTATAGTGTTGTTTGTTTTGCTTGTAGTCCCGATCGTGTTTTACAAGATATTGTCTACAAACTTGTGCCAGGTCTTTACGATAGTAAGTAAAATATACCTTCTTGAAGTTCTTCATGTACCAGTTATCTTGTAGTCTCCTTGGCAGCCTGTCTTTATTGTGGAAACCCGTGAAAAGGGTAGGCTGCGAAGGAGACTAGACGCATTTCTTTACAAGGTATACTTTTTTTATGAAGTATCAGTTTCATGGCTTTGTGTATTTACATTGTTTACATTTTTATTCAAGTTGTTTTTAATAATTCGACACTTATTCTATGTTGTATATCCTAAACGCGAAAACCTTTGCTACGTATCGAGTCTACCAAAGACTGTAAAATCTAACTCATGAAAAATCAAACGTTTCACCATCCAGGCCTCTTGTAATAATCAGAAACTGAAATTTGTTTTTGGCTTTACTTATTGTTGAGTTGTTTTCATTCGCAGACGAACTGCGTCGACGAAAAGACTTCGATACAGGYGTAGAAGAGGAGGGAAAAGGTCAGTGCACAATATACCATGATATACGCATTGGCRCACTTTAAAATAACGCATGCGTGTGCGCGAAAACGCGGTATATTTGGAAGCTCGCTCATGAAATCAAGCCACAAAATTTTGAAATTTTTCTTTTTTGTTTTCGCCTCTCTTAAATATTRTACACTAATATCATTTTGATTCGCATTGGTTCTTAATCAAGATGAGAGCCATGACAAACCTAACAAGAAAGACGACATAGAGGACCCTGTTTGCGTGACCCTAGAGTATTATGGGTAAGCACATGATTATTATATCCTTGTTTCCTGTTTGTTTTGTTGTTGTTCTTTTTTTTTTGCTTGTATGTTAATCAAAGTGCTATATAATTCTGTGTGCTTCTTGCAACATTATACTCACATTTCATTATCTTTTTGCATTCGTTTTTAGACGCAAAAGATTTTGGCAAGAAAAAACGGTAAGATCCACACTACTGATATTTAGTTTGAATCATTTACATATCTGACCAGTAATATGAACTTTTGATATTTTTTGCTAGGTTTTCCCAACTCGATATCTACGATGTTCTTCACAACTACCAGTCAACGTTCTCAAGAAATTTGTGTCAATGAAGTTTGGGATCCCTGATACACACTTTGTAAGTAACTGAATATCTATCCACCCTTGCCTCCTTTATCTCGACGGATTTATTGTTAACACACATGAATATTGTGATTTGTTTATTCTTAGCTTTATTTATCAAATGTGGAACAGAAAGACAGGGTAGAAGCTATGTAGGAACGAGCAGACTGGTAGATTGATAGACAGCTAGCTGTACAGAAGGTTCATTATGGTCAGTTTCTTTAGATATAGGCTCTCTGTGTTATAGCCTAATCAAAAATAGTAGTATGACTTTAACCTGGTTTCAATTGTCTTTGTAAGGTCGAGATTATTCGAAGTGATGAGATATTGAGTGATCACTTATCACTAAGAGAACTATGGCGGGTTTATGGCTTACATAACAAGGTAAGCTTGATTACAATCCACATTACAACTGGTTAAAGTCTCTTCAAGTCTGGTTAAAGCTTCAAATAACTACATATTCATGCCTTGTATTTATACTGAAGGCTGGTTTTCACTTTACATAATCATAACGATAAGCATATGCGTAAGCTGCGTGTTCTTACTCGACAGAAGCACAAGAACAACGAACATACTAATTCTTTATGGCTATGCTTATGGTTATCGCTGTGCTATATGCGCAAGTGAAAACAGTCCCTTAGACTTTCATATATTCAAGTTCTCTTTATGTCGAGATGCTCACGATTATCGTTATGCTTATGCTATAGCCTTATCATTTTACTTTGATTTCCTGACCTCAGTTGTAGAGATGTTTTGCGCTTCAATTCCTTATTCTTATCTTTTGTTGTTGAAAATTGTCCTATTGTGGCGCACTAAGCATAACGCATTAAGCTTGTMCTACTGTGCTCTCACATAACCCTGCATTTCATAATGCATTTTTCTTTCTTCTACGTGATGTGCTTTGTAACTCAGCGTAATTTCTATTTAATTTAATTTCTATTTAATTTGTCTGTTTTTCTACGGTTCTTGCTAAATGTTTTAATTTTTTATSGATATAAAAAAGATTTGGTTAAAATGAACATCACCGACCACGCCCATGTTTTCACCAGTATTTCTCTTCATCATCCTAAAGGCCCGTTTACACTTGCAATTTTTGCAGCGCGATTGTCGCGCGACAATCGCCACTTTGTTCTCTCGCACCTCAAATCGTACGTGTAAACAGCCCCGCGATTGTCGCGGTGATCAAAAATCGCCGCGAGTTGCAGCTAAATTTCAAGCATGTTCGAAACTAAGGCGATAGAGATTTTACGTCATCTACCGTATACGCAATGCATTGTAGGATATGTTTGGGACAAAACTTGGCGGATTTCTTTTGTTTTCTCTAGAAACTGATCCCACAATGCATTGCAAAGCAAGTAGTGACGTAAAAGGTTCAGAAGTCTATTGTCGCRCGACAATCGCGCTGCAAAAATTGCAAGTGTAAACGGGCCTTAATAATTGTAAGATCCAATCAAACTTTACCAGCACAATAAATGTTCTAATGACAAGTTATTGTATTTTTAGTCTTTCATCGATCTTCAGTACATAATCATCGACAAGAAACTAGATATTGTCATCGCACACCAAGGGCTAGACGAACCCAAGTTTAAAAAGATCGTTAAAAAGAGAAAACGAAAAAGAAAATCATCGCTTGTTGGAAGCACCGACGGCTCAGGACTGACACCAATCAAACGAAAACGACGAAAACGYGTAGCAATGGTGGCAAAACGACATACAAAGCTGGCCACGACTCACGAAGGCACTGTACAAGAGACTGCTAATGGAGAGAAGTTGCCGGAACAAGTTGCGGAACAAACTCTCGACTTGTCTGTGAACAATGTTACTCCTTCAGTAGAAAACAACAAAATTGAAGAACATTTACAACAAAATTCCTCAATTCCTCATGATAAAAAGATTGAAAATGACATTTGTGTGAACAAATACGCATGTCCTGCCACACCGGAGAGTGACGCTGACCACACTGACGACTATGGCTCTTTGACAACACTTCCTCCCGAAACGACAAAACCAGCGGCAGACATTGTTCCATCCARCTAGTTTATAGATTGTATAGATTGAAGATGATGTATATAGTTATGTAAAAATCAATGTTTGTGTTGATGTGAGATTGTTGTTTCSGTGAGAGCACAAGTATTACATATTCAAAAAGGGTTTGATTATAAAACAGGCAATGCGCATGGTCAAATATCATTGGCCAGCGGTCAGGGAAGAATCAACATTTTTAGTCTTTTGGACATAGCAAAACTGCGAGCACTTAAAATGTGTCTGGAATTTATATAGAAGTGTGAAGTCCATTGGTCTTTATGCACTTTTCATGAAATTGCGGCTGGCATCACTACAAACATTCAAGACATATTTTAGGAGTTCACGATTTAATTCAATGATCGCATCAGTAATAATTAATGAAACCTCCGTTGAAAACTACGCTTTTTTGATGTCAACTTCTATATAGATAATAATAAAACATGGACARCATAGAGTACAAACATTAAATGTGTGCAACACTTTCCACTATTTACTGCAAATTAGTGTTAATTAAACAGTAGAAAACAATAGAATTAGCATAATTTAGCAATATTTAGTGGTATTTATGTTGCACAGTGTTGYACTCTACCCTCAAAGCAGAGATTTTCTTCCCGCGTGGTACTATCATGTCTTATTAAAGAATTTGATATTATTTCACGGGTTCACATGCACTCACTCGAAAGCTGTTATTAAGAGTGGTTTTGCTATCAGTTACGCAGTCCCTTTGTCTTTGTTTGCTCATTGATATCCAGATTCGTCTGCGCACTTACGAACCAATATAACGCACCGCSAGCGCGGATTTCTAAACAAAGGCTGGCTAGCCTGTCAATAAAACTATTGCCAGTTATACTACAAGAGTAAAAGGATTTTCTTTCATAGAACTGTTTGGGTTAGCTGCAGTCTACCTCTGGTGATTTGGAGTCATCTACGACTGGAGAGAAATCACGACTATCAAAACCAATAGAGTGTGTTTTTCAAAAACAAAAACATTGATGTCTAATTTCTTTGGCGGGACAAATAAAATGTTCCTCATTCCTCACTGTTTGCGTCACCATGACTTTGCCGCGTCCAAAGACATTAACGTCTGTGTTTTTGTCTTTGAAGAGCACGATCTACTTGTTTTGATAGTATTTAGAGGTTTTCAGGAGAGATGGCTTCATTCATTATTGTCAGTGGTAGTTCATAGCAATGTAGATCGAGCTACGTACAGCGKGCGCATTCAAAATCAGCGGTACTTACGTATTCAGTTACTGAAAGCTACAAGCGAATTCTCCGTAATTTTCAATAAATTGCTCAGCTATAGGTATGGAATTTCTAAAGTTATGAGCCTGCATTGGCTGATGTTTGCGCGGCCTGTTTTAGTTTTAAGCTATTCACACAAAACCCACTTGACCTCAAACTACAAACAGCCATTTCCTATAGCCTGTTAAACACCAATTAAAAACGCGCTAAGATTAAAAGTCTGAGTTATGTATTTGCGTACCCGTGTGCAAGTTTTACCTTTGTGTATGTCGGACTGGACTCGGTGTTAAGCCGCTTATCTTAATTGCTACATTTTATAAGCTTGCAATTTTGCAACTTTTATACATTTGCCGATTTGTAAAGCTGACATAAAGTAGATCTAGAGAGATAACACAACTATCGCGAAGGATCTTGTGCTTTTGATTATACTAGCGCTATAGTTTGGCTTTATTCCGTGTGAAAATGTTGAGTTTGCAGTCGCAGATTACAATGTTTTTTTTTAATTTTTTTAATTTTACGAAAACAGTATAGTATCGGTGAATCTTAAATTTGCCAAGTGAAACAAGAATAGCGTGCTTTTTCCAATCGCGCTTGAAAACGTTAGTTTTTCTTCATTTCATGAGTACATTTTTACATAATGCGAAGAAAATTATACAAGTGCAAATGAACAGCTTTTAATTCAAAATCTCAATGTCCAGAATTCTGTCACCTTGTTTTACTATGAACGAACAAAAGTAAGCTTTCGTTGAGAATGATATCAAAAAAATCCCATTGTAGTACAAGCAATTATACATGCAAGTACGTCAATTCTTTAGGTCCAAAGGCATGCACAGACATGTACAAAAAAGACCAAACAACCSCGCGCATTAGTGTGCTTTAATAGATCCCTCTACGACAACTGAGTTCTTAAACTCASAGTCTAAACGACTTGCTAGTTAGTGTTCGTTTGCTAACACTGTTTGAAAAGTCTTTTTTACTCTTTGCGGAGTGCGTGCAATCCACATAAAATTGCTGCTCCAGCGTTTGTCCCGCAGGCATCGCGTCGGATGCCTATTTGACTTGCTACATTCGATTCAACAGCCACGTGTTTTACCTCTACAACAGATTCCGACGACATTTCGCTGGTGGAGCACAAAGGTATTTGTTTAAAGCTCTGATTATCGGTTGATTTACCGCACGTGGACCCCCCACGGTGGACCAGAATATGGCCACCCATAATATGCAATCATACATAGAATGAGCAAAATCATCTCTTCCTTTTTCTGTGGGTACATTCTTGAATGCAAAGCGGGAATGACAATGTACCATTTCAGCGTACCGACAGTATTGTTAGTGTCTAAAGCCAGTTAGGGGAAACCATCTGAAAGTATGTTTCTTCATAGTCATCAAKGATRGCACTTTGCGTCTCGTGAGCTAGATGACGTGATTGGGCATTGCATAGCAAGACTCTCCTTCACATAGTCACGATTCACAGTACTTGTCAAATACACTCAAAAGGCTCCAGTTGTCAAACAAGAAGAGACATGCCGGAGACGGTACTAAGAAGCAAGTAAATAGACGCTTTTGAATGACAGAATAAATACATGGACTCTGAGAGTTTGTTTTACTCGTGAAAAGAGCGTGCGAGTGCTAGTATAACGTGATCAATCAAATTACATAGTGACCCAATTATAGATTGTATCACTTCATTTATAGAGTTTTTTATTCATTTTTGATTGAAATTCTAATCCCTGTGTAATTGTACGGAACCCGATCGTCAATTAATGGCTGATTCGATGACACGCAACATTTAGAGCCTTTATTTGACTTTAATCGTGCGTGATAACAACATCTTATCTCTTTAAATTTAAAAATCACGACTACTCTCATTATTTGTATATAGGAAATCTTGATTTTTAATTTGTAGGAACCTTCTTCGTTCATAACGCACATTATTTTACTTATAAACTTGAATAGAATAACAGAAATAGAAACCTCGAAGCGAGCTGCTTAAAAAATTCCAAATATTCTTTACTTTTGGTAAATATTTAGAATTCGTCTTGTATGTTAAAATATGTTGTTTTGCTTTTTATTGTCCAATGGCCTATTATTACAGAGATTAAAAAGACCTTAACCGCTAGGTGATGATCACTTAATCCCTCAAAAACTTCAAGCTAAGGAACCTTCTGACCTTTCTTAGGATTTCAATTAACAGAATCTTAAAGTAATTGTCCTGAATGCTCGCGTGAAAAACGTCCGCGCAGCTGTTGCCAATCTGAAAATGGAAGCACAAATAATTAATCTTTTTCTAATCAGTAATCTAACTTAYAACAGTTTTTGCCGATGATACAATMACTCTYTTATGRACATTAWAAAGTAAAAACAACGTAGCTGCATTTTCCCAGCAAGAGATCTCAGCTCCTAAGCAAAGATGTTGCCAGTTTCGTTGCTTTTCTAACGACAATGYCATAAAAAGACTTCCAAATATATTYCTTAACTCACACTGAAGTATTATTATTATGTACAATGTGTTAAAAGGATTTCTACAGGGGTTTTTAACACCTCTAAATTGAACTCCTGTATAGTCACTGTCCCTGAATAGGCCGTCAATTGATGCTAATAGTTGTTTAACAATATACTAAGGTATTAAGTGCCGTATACTGACAAACGGGTAACCGGTTCACCGGTATTGACCGAGTGTATCTAGTGTTTTGGTATGTGGCCAGTGTTTTCTTCATAAAACAGCGGGTGACAACTAAGAACTAGTACAACATTCCTGGGTGTTTTTGCACTCGCATTATTAGTTTCTTTTCATTTTCAACAAATTACGGARCTTACTTTCCGAGCCCTTTCTTTTCAAAAATACTTTTTCTATTTTCATTGAATTCCAGCATCTTCAATTGAAATTCACTGTTGCTGGCGTTGTGTCATGTAATGCACAATTTTAATTCCTCAAATTCAAAAAGTGTTCAAAGACTTCACTAGCGTACAAAAATCAATAAAACAGTTGGCACAATACCCTTAACTATATATCTGATCTCAAGTACATGCAATTTTTAATTAGTCACACTGATAAAGATTATTGAACAGCAAAAAGACTTTAGATTAGCAAAAACGCAGAAAGGGTCAAAAATTCCCTTTAGCGAATATTTCAMCACCAGCTTGAGTTCGAAACCCTATGGAGACAAACCWCTAAAGGTTTSTAATGGCCTGTGCTTGTTCATTTTCTTTTTAGGGGTTGGTGTTTTACATAACAATACTGCTAGAGCCTGATTGCTTCAAATATTGTCATCTCTATGAGGCTGACTTCAAAAAGAACCGCTCATAGTTGAAATAACGATCTTGAAATAATAAGAAAGARATAGGTTTATGCAATTTTAAGACAGTCAGCTCTGTAAACGCAACGTTTGTTTTTTCAAATGTTGCCTATCCCCACTCAATGTTTAAACTCTAAATTAGTCGGCACGGTAATCCARACTTCAAATCCCTTAGGAGATCCGCAGAAAAACTAAGACACAAGGCAGCGCATTTTATACCATTGAAACGTTACAAAATAAGGAACATGGCAGAAACTGTGTAAAATGCAATGCTTTAACGACGAGATGCTGGTTTCGCTGAAAAGTCGTAATTCCAACAACACTTTTTCTTGTTTTCCCGAGATCATCCATTTTGCATTTTTTAAAACGATGGTCATTTTTGGAGCACGCGAAGACACACGCTTACTAGACACCCCATTGTGAATACTTGGTCTATGAAGCASAGAGAAACTGATAAACAACGCTGCCAAAATACTGCACATTCCTGAGCGAAAAGGTTGTTGCTGAGCACTCAACTTGAAAAGAATCAACTTAATCTTTTTTTGAAATGTCTCATTACMCYCACGGAACAAAAGTCAAGTCAGCAGGGTTATAGCAATGGCATCYGAAGCATGGGAAATGTTTGGGAATTCCGACAGCAGTAATAAGGTTTAATACGTTGCCTAAGAGAGTGCAGGGGGAAAGGTTCAGTTAAACGGGCCTGTTACGAGTCGGGCGTTGCAATCAAATGAGTCAGATGAAAAACAATTAAACAAGGTCCTGAAAATTAATAAGAAAAACGTCAAAACTATGCCTTTGTTGACATGTGTTGATGATTGCTTAGTCGAAATTTAATTTGCTGTAGAAGTGAGTTTTATCATACCAGGGATGTAGGTGTGCCTTAAGCATAGCATGAACCACAATCTATTGTCTTAATGCTACACAATGTCTTTTGATGCATAACGATCTCCAGGCACTCCTTTTAAGTCATTGTGTTTTGATCAACAAGCCAGAAGATTTGAACCGGTGCACAGCTATACGAATGTACACACTCTCTCGAGCCGGCGCCATGGACACACCGTTTGAAGACACATTAGATATGGTCTGCATGGATGACATCTTACCAACCACGTCCTCGCCTGAGCCGGACTCRCCACAGCAAAAGAAGAAAAAAGCTAGAAGACGAGGACCAAGGCTAACAGGAGTCAGCAAGCAAAGAAGACTTGCAAACGCTCGAGAGAGAAACCGTGTGCATATCTTAAACATGAACATTCAAGTTCTCCGAGAACTCATACCATTACCGCCACAAGAAAAAGAGCCCACGAAAACTGAAATAATTTGGATGGCTGCAAAGTACATCGCCCTGCTTGGAGACATGCTGGATCAAGAACCCATAGATTTTGGCGACTGCGTTTTAAATGATCTTTTCTTAGATGCATTTTGCTAGATAATCAAGTAAGTGTTGATTGTGTGTGACCTTTTCTCAGCTATCTATCTATCAGTCGACTGCGATAAAATCTTAATAACTGACATTACATTTTACATCCAGTACACTTTTTATTCTTCCAAACTCGACAAGATTTCCCCATTGATTAYCCAACATTTTTGATTATAAAAAACTAAACGAAACTTGATGGATTTAAGTCACAACGTTTCGAAAAATGCATAGGAATTAAGTAGTTTTTATAAAAACAAWAACATCATACTATTGTATTTCWTTGTTCGCAGCATACCACCTGCAATACTGATGAAAACACACAAGAATTATACTTTAACACCAAAGCCATGCATCTGTTGGTGCGACTTCTACTTAGGATTCTTAGAATCAACTCCAATTCGTTGCTTTTTGCGCAGCAAACTACCAAGCCAAGGAACGTTGGTAAAACTTCAATATATATAAAGTATACGGTGTATACTACGAAGTATTTGATAATTTCTTGCCTATTTTAAGGCAAAACGCAATCAACATTCACTGAATTGAATCAAAACTTTCATTCATCGAAAGATTATATAATTTCAATATTTGAAATCAAATCTTTATGCCCCTTTTTTGGGGAAAATTAATATTATTCCGTTTTATGGAAACTTGTTTAAATTAAATTGAATCTATAAGTTTTATAATAGAGAAATATATATATATTTTTCACATTTATGATTATATTTTTATAAAAAAATATAGAATTTATGTTTACATCAGAGTACAGTGATCTATTTTTATATATAAGATATTTTTTTCTACTAAATTATATTTCATACTTTATTCTAAATTAATGAGCATGAGAGAGTTATAATGATGATATCAACAGTTACAATTCCCGTCGTGGAATTGGATGCTATAGTTCAAAACAATTTTAGARTTTAGRCGAACATAACCAACCTCCATAGGCCTTGTACTTGGTCTGAAATCAACGTTAGCAACGTCTTCGACTAGCGTTTGAATTGAAAACGTTGCTTTTTCATTTTTTCAGGTTTTAAGCAATTTGTTGTGACTACAATTTTGTAAATTCAATTCAAACACGCTATACATATCAAACTAACA